CTTTTCACACCTTTAGCACCATTTGGCACCTGCCAAGGAGCCAGTGCTGACTACCCAAAAGTACTGAGCTTTTCTAGATGTGCTGTACAGCCTTTTCCCAGGGTTGCTTGTTCTCAGCATCACCAGAGTCCTGCCTGTGTATAACCCTGTTCCTTGCCTGGCCAGGAGTTCCCAGAGAAGCAGGAGCTGCACCGCAACATGCTGGGCCTCCTGGGCAACGTGGCAGAAGTGAAGGAGCTGCGCCCGCAGCTCATGACCTCCCAGTTCATCAGTGTGTTCAGGTGAGTGCCTGGCTGGTGTCCAGCTGGCTCTGATCTCTTCTCCTGAATCACCTGGACACTTGTGAATCTTTACTGCATCAGCAGCTCTGAGTGATCTCTTCTCTTTTCGCAGCAACCTGCTGGAGAGCAAAGCTGATGGGATTGAGGTGTCATATAATGCCTGTGGAGTGCTCTCCCATATCATGTTTGATGGTTTAGAGGCCTGGGGGATCTGTGAGCCTCACAGAGAAGAAGTTGTGAAGAGGATGTGGGCAGCCATCCAGAGCTGGGATATCAACTCCAGGAGAAATATCAATTACAGGTGAGCAATGGAAAAGATTGGCCTAGTCACAGGGGAGCCAGGATTGTCACAGGAAGGAAACACCAGCAGAGAGAAAGAAAGAGAAAGAGCCTAGCATGGAGGCTCTTTTCAGAGTGAAAGAGAAACATCTTCAGAAACATATTCTTTAGTGAGGGTTTTACATCTTCCTTTGAAACATGTTACATAAGATGCTGAAATTAGACACCTTACCTGGCAATTCCTATGGGAGAAGTTTGGCAGCCCAGCAAGAATTTCTCTTGCAAGTTTCTACTGAAATTGAGTAGTTCAGGAAAACCATGGTCAGTCTGGGACTGCCTAAGCATTTTCCTCTGATACTGCTGTCCTTTGCAATCTGTCCTTTTAAGTCTATTTACTTCCCAAAGCCACATGCTTTCATTCTTCTCTGGGGCATATTTAGACACAGGTACCAGAAATCCCTTCAAAGGTTAATACAGCTGCTGGAATCCTGTAAACCCCTTCCTGTAAGAGGTTATCAGGTACTCAGAATTCCCTTAGTGCTTGGCAGGGATCCAGAACTGGCATACCAGTGCCTGTTTACAGTATAGACAGTATAGTTGTCAGAAGAAACACAGGAACCCTTGCAGGTGTGCAGCCAGCTTTGCCTGGGCATAGTTTGGCTTTGTCCCTTCTCGAACTAATCAGTGCTGCTGGATTTCAACTCTTGTGAGGAAATGCCTAATGGAGGACGGAAATCAGTTCCTGGGCTCAGTTGCCTCCATTGCAGCTATTTCTCTGAGCAGTGTGTTTGTGCTGAAGTGGTGGGGCCTGTAATCCTGCCAACACTGCCCTGACTTAGCCTTGGTGCCAGAATCTTTGAAATGCCAATGGATTTACTGCTGTGATATCTATGAGCAGATCCCTTGCTGTACTGTATTGCTGTGAGTGGCAATGGTGTTGAAAGAAGTAGCTCTTGGGTTTTTAAAAACTTCTGTAATATTTCTGTGCAGGTCATTTGAACCAATCCTTCGGCTTCTTCCACAAGGGATCTCCCCAGTCAGCCAGCACTGGGCCACCTGGGCACTCTATAACCTGGTCTCTGTCTACCGTAAGCTCTCTTTTTGAAATCATATTCCCTGCACTGTAGAAGTTGAGGGGGTGAACCTGGGGCTGTCAGCAGAAAAAATCTTGCAAAATAAACTATGTAGGTAGAGAAAAACCTTTGAATGATGCAGGAATTTCCAGGCAGCACAGCCAAATAAAGCTATTTAGACTTGGTGTGTAGGAAATTCCTTCACTGTTTTGATCCTCCTCCTTCCCTTTCTGCCACCCAGTGTACAACACTGTTGTGAGGGTTCACAAGGACCTGATTTATTCTTTTCTCTGCAGCTGACAAGTACTGCCCACTGCTGATCAAAGAAGGTGGGATTCCTCTCCTGAAGGACATGATTAAAATGGCCTCAGCAAGACAAGAGACCAAGGAAATGGCCCGGTAGGACACCAGTGCACCATCACAAACTCTCAGTTTAGCCTTAGTTTAGTTTTTAATTCTTCCACATAAAGTGAGGCTACCAAAGCAAGGCCTGTAGTGATGTGTACAAGAGGTATGAATTGAATACAGGAGAAGCAGAGGAAAAAGAGGATGAAAACAGAATACTAGAGATGTTCATAGGTGGGCAATACACACAGATCATTACCAGGCAGCTGGGCTGCAGATTGGCTTGTTGAGCAAGGGAGGCACATGGCTAATTGCAGTTCTTAGGCCAGTAGTCTCCAGTTATCACTTTTCCCTGTACTTGGGTGGGCTGCCTGTCCTCAGAATCATACTGGCCTGTCACTGAACTGCCAACTGCACAGTTAAAACAAGAGCATTTTTCAAAAGGTAGAGTCCACTTTGCAGTGGCACCTTTCTTTGGAGTCATCCTTTAAGAGCTGTAAAAGCAGTTTCTGATCATTGGCAAAGTGAGAGCTCTAATTTCATACCTGCAGGATGAATGGAAGAGAGAGGCAGAGATCTGGGCATACCTGGTGAGTGAGCAGCAGGTATTCCTACAGCTGAGGGTTGCTAAATTCTGTAAGGGACTGGAACCTGCAGAAGACAGTCACAGTTACACACAGTGTGTGGGATGGGACAGGTGACAGCACAGTGAAACATTTGTATTAATGTATTTCCTGGTGGGATTTTAAAATCTGAGGTTTTGGGTGTGGGGATAATGAATGAATGGTCACAACTGGATCTGGATATGCACTACCAAAACTTGACATTCCAAGTTGGGAGCTGCTTTTGTGGAGTTTACTGGTTTTGACACAGTTTGTGTCTCAGATACAAACAGGACATGGTTACACAGAAATCACCTCTGGGACAGTTCTTACCTTACTGTCCCACAGCTGAGGTGCAATAAGCTTTAAACTAAACCCTCTCTCCTTGTCCTTGTTTTATCCATAGGAAAGTTATAGAGCACTGCAGTAACTTTAAGGAGGAGAACATGGACACTTCCAGATAGAGGCAATCACCCAATGCCTCTTGCCAGCACTGTATCCAGCTTCTCTCTAACTCACTGTACATAGGGAGGACTCTTTCTTACCAACTCGCCCGTTGGAAGGAAACTTTATGTGTGTGTGTGAGACCCTCAGTAGATGAAGGTGAATAGGGGAGGGGGGAGGGACTTTTTGCACAACAAAATGCTTTCCTTAACTTAGTGGACTTTTTTGTTATGAAGTTTCAGGTTGAAGTTCTGTGTGTATGATTTCTGTATAAAAAGAAAACAAAAAACAAAGACAATTACATTATGTATCTTTTAACCTTTTATTTTAGACCACACAGAGAGCCTCACATGACCATGAGCTTGAAGACCTAGTTGTGTGATCACTAGTGTGACATTTATTTCCCACTTTTTAGAAAATTCCCTTTTGCTGTACTGCATGAGGTCCTGTGATGTCTGCAAGAACACCAGTCCAATCAGCATTGGCTGCTCAGTGGGGCTGCAGGCAGTGATGAGTTATTCATTTGGTTAGAGAGGCTGGGGGACACAATACCAGAGAGATAGACAAAAAAACCTGACGTTTTAGTGAGACTTAAAAATGGAGAAACAAGAGAAGACCTTTCAAGCTAATTCACTCCCTTAAGGGCTTTTTAATAGAAGACTCACATTAATGGAAGCATTGTTAATTCTGTGTGGGTCATTTGGAAGTAAGACATTCCCAATAAAGTCAAGAGGTCTGTTTTGTCCCCATTGGCAGTACAGTAGGATCTGCCAGCCCACCCAGCCTCAGAAGGTCAGGGATGACAAGAACCAGTTCTATGTTCTTGTCTACACAGAGCTTCTCTCTTGAAGGGAGCCTGTGCAACAAGGCACAAGGTTTGTTCACAAAGGGCTACACATCTTTATTCCAGTCCTCCACCACCTTTTTTAGCAGTGTTCTGTTTTATAGGGAAGGGCTACAAAGCCAGGGTATTTCCCTCTGCATACTATACTCTGCTAGGCCCTAGTCCTGAGCAGCTGTACCCCCTTGTGCAAGTCCCAGGAAGGCACTGGAGCTGTTCTGCCCATCCTCAGTCTGTGTCATCACAAGCTGTGCTCAGTAGCATCACAGTGTCCCTTCACAGTGTCAGCTCACTGCAGCACAGCTGCTGGAATTGGAGGTGGGAAGTCTCCAGGCACCCTCTGAAGGGCAGTCCCAGGAAACAGCACCTTTTGTTCCACCCCAGCATCTTCCCCCAATTCTCAGAAGCAGAAGGCCCTATTCCCATCTGACTCCCAGAAGCACTTAGCAGTGCAGTCCCAGTCCCTTCAGCAGCATTACTGCAGTCTGTGTGGCACAGGTGAGAGGAGAGTCCCACTGAGCTGGCCTTCACCTGTGACACTCCAGACCTGTAATGGCTCAAGAAGCTGAAGGTCACGGTTTGCCTCACAGCCAGGCACTCAGCAGCAACAGTTCTGTGTCACAGCCCACTGCTCATCACAGCTCTTTGACAAATCTTCCCTTAGAAGGGACTCAGAAAAGATCTGCGTGGTAGAAGGAAGATGAGCCCATGGCCATGCAGGCTGGGACATTTCAGGCCTCAGAGCACAGCTACTCGCTGCTCTCTTCCCTTGTACACTTTGCTCTCGGATTTGAGTCGCTGCTACGAGGTTCTGCTAATGCTCAGAGTTCATGTTGTCCTTGTGAGCACGTTAGGGATGGATCCTTGATCCACAAACTGACACTTTAACTGACAGAACACAACTGCCTGGAGAGGTTTACTTTTACTGCCAATACGGTGTTATTCAATGTCTTTTTTTTTTCTTTTTAACCATACGTCAATTTGTTTTGGTATTGTGAGATCTGTACTTTTTTCTTTTAAGTATTTTTTCAAACTTATATATATTTTTGTGTCACTTTTAAATTGTTTTCATAAGATTGCAAAACTTGACAAATTATACTTTTTTGCAGTCATTTGAAATGTATTTTTCTCTTATTCTTGTTTCCCAAGAATCTGTGTCCCTATGAGCTTATTTCAAGAACTGTTTTCTGTGTAACATTTGCTAATCTTCCTTCTAGATGCAAAACTAAGAGGGGCTGCAAATACAGCCTTGGTTGTTAGGGGAGTCAAGCTTTGCTCTTTAACTCCCCATTTAGTGCTGCTGTCCTTGGGAAGTTGTTTCACATGGCAGTACCACCCACCACATGTGCTTCCTTTCCAATGCCCATGTAGTGAAAGCTCCTGTCACTAAAATCTTGAACCAAGTGACAAAAAGCACTCAAGATTGACCGTGTTGGCAAGGTGGGAGTAGAGCAGAAGGGGACAGATGACAGATGTGAGGTCTCAGAAAGCCTTGTCCCCAGAAAGCAGCTGCCATGCTGGGGAGAAGCGGAGCTGGGGAACTCCCATCTCAGCTGGAGCAGATCCCAGCCTCTCCCTGCAATCCAAGCCAAGCAGTTGGGCTCTACTCTGAGACTTTGGCACAACTACATCAAGGCTAATAACAACCAAGGGCTTGGTTTTACCTGCCTTGAGAGCCCAAAGGTTTGGGTTTTCCAAACCAGTGCTTCCACAAGTTGAACAGTTTCTGGAGTCTCACCTGCTGCATCCCAAACTAACAAGATCCACACTGCATCAAAGTTGTTTCACACTGCAGAGGTAACCTCTGTTCTCACAGCAAGCTGTACCTCAGCCCGAACCAGGATAAAAATATTTCAATTTCTAGCAATAAGGAGATGAATGGAACCAGGCCAGGCTGACAGAAAAGCTCAGCTTGCTGAAATCTGTCACCACTCCCAGGTGAAAGAGGGAACTCTTAACTGGGCAATTGCAGAAAGCCTCACATAAGATTTTGAGTCAGGCCACCAGCAAGGTGAATGTCTAAGGCAGCACATTAAAAGGAATAACACCCCTGTTAGAGTAATGTGAGCTTTGCCTGCAAGCTTCAGTGTCTTCAAGATTTTGTGAGCTGAAAAGTAACATTTTCCCCTCAGAAAGGATCAAAAAGTATCCTTTGAGCACCAGAGCACAATCCAACAGTTCCTGCAATTGAAAGTCTGAAACCAGCCTGAGCCTCAGTTTCCCTAACTGAAACAACAGGCATAATGCATGGCCTGAAAACGTTTTTTGGTGGCAAGGATTTAACTGGTGCCATAGAGTCAGAGCTGAGGAGAGTTGCCTGCAGACACATCAATATTCTGCAAAGGAAGGAGGGGGAAAGTGGCAGATTTTTTATGAAGGTTTAATGTAAAAAGGGAAGCTGGATACCCTGAAATACTTGACTGCTCCAAGGACGCCTCTCAGGCCTTCCAGCTTTGCTGGATCAAAGGAACAAGCCAAGAAACTTCAGCTCCACATAAAATTCTACAGCCAGTGACCAACCCTGCTCAGAAAACCAGAATGGGGTTCTATTTTTCAAATGAAAATCCAGCTGTAGAGAAGTTCACAGCATGTAAGGATATTGCAGAGGGGCTCCTTGTGCTCAGTAGCTGTTGGCCCACTCAGACTCTTCATGTTTTCACTACTACATTTCCTTTAATATTCCAAAGCTTGGCAAGCAGAGCACGAACACGACTCAGTAGCTCCCTGCAGAGACTGTGCCAACAAAGGAGCCCTCTGCCTGAACTGTGTGTGGTTTCCTTCCTGGCTGGAGGCTGCCCTGTCCTCCAGTGGCCCTTGTCAGTGTCCCAGCAGTGCCAGGTGTCCATGTTCTCTGGAGCAGATAAGAGCAAATTGGTGAGCAACTTCCCACCAGTGCTTCCATTTTACAAAATCTGTGGGAGGAATTGCTCATAAGGATTGGCATCTACTTGGATGATGTTTAACACCCAGAAGCATCAGACTTTCTCATCTAGACCAAGCCAAGAAAGTTTAGCACTGATATTTGTGGCAATCAGAACACTGCAGATAATTCATCTGCACCATGGCTGCTGGTTTCCCTGCACCTTCCTACTGAAATTATCCTCTTCAGCACTGAATCCTACCCAGCTTATCACCTTGGCTAGGCTTCTGCTGCTGTCACCCTGGTCTCTGCAAAAGATGAGTGGGAAGAAAAGTCTTGGAGCTGTGAGTCAGTTCCCTCTCATTACCTGAAGAAGGCAATTAATTACCAGTAGGGCAGGAGCTAGAGGGCACTGCAGTCAGGCACTACCCATAGAAAAGACATTTCCTTGAGTCTGTTCAGGGAGGAGTCTGCCACAGCTCAGGTGTTAGAGGACAGCTTGTGCTGGAAAAAGAGAATTAAAAGGAGGGAAACAGCTGGTCTCCAGGACAACCATGTGTGTGGATGAAGCACAGAGGGCAATAGTCATCAGGAATAGATGAAAAGCAACATGGGGGCTGAAGGAGAAGAGAGCACTTAAGGAATGAGGGAGATACTCTGCTGAACTGAAACACTTCTGCTTTAGCAGACTCTTTTGATTTCATGTAATTGTTAACTGATCCTCTCTGTAACTCTTTACTTGTTAAAAAAAAGTTTTTAAGCTAATTAAATATGTATTTCCTTGTTTTGCAATGAAAATACCCTCAGTTATAATGAGCAAGTGTCTCCTTTTACTCTGTCCATGGACCTGCCTGATGCTGAGGCCTGGTTCAAATGTTTGCACCTGGTGAAACTGAGCAAAAAAATCAAAATGCACAACTGTTGCTTCCTTACAATTCTGAATGAATTAACTTTTCTGTTGTATCCATTGGATACCCACTGTGTATTAAACTTAGTGCTCAAGAGTGTCTTCTTCCTTTGTTCTATGAATGTGGTTTATTTAGGTACATTACTGGTCCATTGGCTGTCATATATTTAATTAAAAATGAAAGGAACTGCCACGTGTTGATGATGCTGTTCAGTGCCTTTGCCTTTCATCACTCCAAAGGACACAATACTGCTTGTCAGCAGAAGAAAGCAGTGGAGGACGAGAGCATTGTTAGGAAATTGTGTGAGAGGAGAGAAAAACCAGGACAATATTTGAGTGTCCAGATTGCTCTGAACTCTCTAATGTATTTGCAGCTCACACTCCACAGCCTGGGCTTTGTAAGGGGTGGGATCTGAGCCCTTAAAAAAGCCAATGTGCTTTAAGGCCAGCCTGACTTTCTTCTTAAGACCCTGGTCCTGTGAGGGCTCAGTGCCAGTAATTCAGTGGCCACTGTGGAGTCTGTAAAGGAGCAGGGAGAACAGGAGGGGAGGAGCATTTCTATGAAACTGAACTGCCTCTGAAAACATGCTGTGCTCTAAGAGTCCAGAGAGATACCTGAGCTTTCCAGCAGCATGGGATTCTGAGCTGGGATGCCACAGGAACCAAGATTCTCCCCAGAAACTTACTAGTAGAGACTTTTGTACCTGAGCCTAATTTCAACCAGTCACTGAGGCTGAAACCCTTGAGACAAGAGATGAGCCCTGATCCCTGCAAGACAGGTTTCAAAGCTTAAGGAGAAGATTAAAAAGAGTAACATGCACCAAATCACTTTAATTGCAAAGAGAGTGAGAATATATTCCTTAGGCCAGATTATTCTAGAACATCAAAATGTTTCTACTTTCAAGTGGATAATATTATTACTACTCAAATTGCTTTAATTAAGCTTTAAGATTTACACCTCTCTGTGAAGAAGGAAAGACACTACCCACCTTTTTCTGAGCACCAGTACAGCCTGAGGTGTCTGAGGGAAAAGAGCCGTAGGCTTTGCCTTTACCTAGAATTGAAAATAAAAAAAAAGGTAAAAAAAAAAAGAGAAAAAAAAAAGTTTGAAGGATTGCTGGAAATTCAGTTGACAATTTTTCTTAACATTTCAACCCAGCTGTCTCAGGTGAACCATTTAAGTGACCCACACAACCAGGTGCTTTCCTGGCATCAGCACATGGCCACTGACTCATATGAAGAGACTAAAATAATCAATTTGTGGGCAAACAGTACCAAGCAATCCACTGCCAGGTGCTGGAGGGTAAATTTATAATTTATAAGGAATATGATATTTCTTTCCAAATTTTTATTGGGAAAGGTAACAAAAGCAGCAAGGTAGAACTATGTTAAAACCGAAAGGAGTTAAAGCACTGATTTTGGAATTTTTACCATTATGTGATAACATTCATCCTTAAGACACTCAAAGTGCTATATATGTGCTACAGTCACCTTGGTGGGGTTTTTTTATGGTTAACAAAAGACAAAAACCAAAGGTGCAATTCAAGGCGCATCTCAGGTGCACTTCAGTTGCTTTTAGGTGTCTGTTCCAGCTGAGAAGAGCCTGTACACACCAGCTTCCCTCGGCAGCCCTCGGGGGAGTTCAGTGACCTCCCCCAGCCAGGAGCCTCTTGACTGCAGCCATGTCACCCACACCAAGTCCCTCCTCATGTCAGACGTTCTCCAGGCTCCGTTTGGTTAATGGGGCCGTGTAGCTGCTTCCAGCCAGGCACAGCCTCTCTGCGCTTCTTCCCGAGGGCTGGAAACCAACACATGGAACAACAACGTCAGCGAGAGCAGGACTAACGCAGGGCAGAACCTCGGGAGCCTTTGAACGGCACCTGCTGCCCGACCTCGCACAGCTCTGTACACCCAGCAGCGCCTGCCGCGGTGGGACGGAGGCTGTGAACAGCCCCAGAGCCCGGGGTGAGGCGGGGGGACACGCGGGAAGGGCTCAGGAAAACCACCCCTCGGGAAAGGCCCCGCAGGGCACAACAACGCCGGGCGGTGCGGGGGACAAAGGAGCCCGGCGGCAGAACCCGGGCCCGCTCTGGGAGGGGAACCCGTCCGCCAGCCCAGGAGCCTCCCCCGCCGGGCTGGGCCGGCCTGGCCCCGCCTCGGGCCGCTGCCCGTGTCCCGCCCGGCCCTGCCAGCGCTGCCCTCAGGCCTTCCGGGCCGGCGGAGCCGGTGAAGCCGGGGGGCCATGGGGCCCGGCGGGCGCTGGGTGCGGGCGGCACACACGGCCCTCAGCGCGGCCCTGCTGCTCGGGCTCCTCCTGCACCGCACGGGTGAGGCCGGGCCGCGGGGAGGGGGCGGCGGGGCCGGGCCGGGGCCGCTCCGCCCCCGGGGGCAGGCGGAGGACGCGGATGGCGGGCGGGCCGTGCGGCCCCTGCGGGACACGGGCTATCCGCACCCTGGGGTGCCCCGAGGGCCGGGGGTCTGGGAGCCCCTTCTCAGCCTCTCCTCTCTCCATTTCCCCTTCATAGACTCGGGACCCCTTTGTTGAGGTCAGAGAGACAAATCCAGGACGCTTCACAGAGCTGCTGCTCTCTGTCTTTCATGGGTACCTTTCAGATCTGCAAAAGCAAGAGGAGCGCGGGGAGCTGCTTCAGCCGCTGATCTTCGTTTTGCTGGTTTTATGCTCGATCCTGCTGTACTTCAAGGTGTCTCTCATGGATCCGGGTTTTGTTAAACCTGAAGAGGAAGTGAAGGTAGATCCCTTCATGAATAGAACAAAGCTGAGCAGCTGTAAAGCCTATAGGCTTTTCTGCTTTTTCCACTCTGCTAGATAAGAACAATCTGAAACAGTTTCTGTTGTGCTGGTGCAGGACACATGCATAGACCGTTGGAGATGAGGACAGACTGTCTCACACTGTATTTTGTAACAGCAATAGGGTTTACAGCCTTTAAATGTGCCTTTCACACCACACTTCCCTTGTACGTAACTGTGCCTCAAGTCCTCTCCTAGAGCAGAGACTGCGGTGCCCTGTGGAATGTGTATATGACCTATTTTACAGTAACCACTGCTAAGTGGTACAAGTGCAAAAAAAGCCCCAAACTGAAGGGCAGGCTTGGCAGACAGTGCTCTCTGCAGCTCTATTTATTGAAGTCTTTATGGATTTGTTGCCCTCTCAGAGGACACATGCACAAACAAGTTACAGTGAAATAAATTGAGATGCAAAGTTTCAGTAACTGCTAGTCTGCTCAAGGTTCACTGCCTTATAGACTGTAGGACAAAAGCATTATCAGTCTTAGTCATCCATCATTAATGCCAGTGTTGGCTGTGTATGACTAATTAGCACTGCTCATACCAAAAAGACATTGTTAGTGTGTTTAGAAGTGAAGTCTAACCTTGTTTTTGTCCCAGACTATATCTTGTCCACAGTTATTTCTGCCTCTCAGAAATGCAAACATTCTTTGGAGGGTTACAGTAACCTGTTCTCTCTCACTGTACCATAATTATCTGCAGTTTCTGTAGGAATTCTAATGAATTATTTTGTTCCTAATGATAGAGATAACAAACACTGTGTAACTGTTAAGTAAAAGTATGCAGCAAGACAGCTCAGTCATACCTAGACAGGAGCCCAAGAACCCTCCTCAGTCCCTTCCTTTCTCTTTTTTGTAGGAAGGTGAAGATAAAGGACAGGGTGTGGTGATCCCTCAGATTGCAGGTGACATTAAGCTGCGGCGCTGTGGTTACTGCCTGGTGAAGGTGGGCATCCAGAACGTGCTGGAAGAGGAAGGGATGAGTGATTTGAAAGCTTACATTGTTCTTCAGCTGCTGTTTGTGGTCTGTAATTGCTGCTTAGAGGAGGCTGGGCAGAGGCTACACAAGTAGTAGTGATGGACACTGGCACACAGGCCACTTTTCCAAGGCTGAAACAAGTCTCTGCTGGCTTATAGAAACAAAAATCTTTTTTTGCCAGGAGAAAATTGTATTCCACACTCTTACTACCATGTCAGCCAGACTTTGCAGTACTGTCAAATAAGTTATTTTGAAAATACCTTTATAGTCAGAAAGGCAGCTGAGTGTAACATGTGGGAACTGCTCATTGTTGTGAACTTGTTCAGGGCCTTAAAACAGCAAAACATTGGCCTGAATGGTAAAAGACAGCATGAAGGAGAAACTACAACAATGAAATCAGCTCTTAAAACAGTTTGCCTAAGCCTAGAAGGGCTTGTTTTCAGAGTGATCCTTATCAGTTTAATGAAATTAAGCATTACCCCAGCTCCCATAAATTCCCGAAGAGTATCAGTCAGGAGGAATGAGCTTATTGCAAGAAGAAAAGCTGGCAAAGCATTTATACACTGCAGGGGACAAATCCTAGGAAGCACTACTTTTCTCAGCCAGGTCTTTCACCTTCTCTGTGCCTGGTAATTGAGCTGTTTTCTGTGCAAGTGTCTTGTACTCACTCACATGGAGGCACTTCTCTGTACATCCCCAAAAAGCATCACAGCCCTGCCCACTCTATTTGATAGTAGTGGTTCCAGTTTTTCACCTCAGTACTCTGGCTCATGCTTTCCTGATTACACTGATTGGCTTTGTTTCCCTCCTTGGCATGCTGGACTTCCTATAATAGGTAGATAATAAAGAAAATGTGTAGATAGGAGGAGTGTGGGAGGATCACTTAATTTGAATGCCACCCATTTGGGTCTTGACCAGAAGAATCACAATCCCTTTGATTTGTCTTAGCAATGTTGATGTGCCGTTGTCTCACAAGTAAGTGTTTTAGGGACAATATTGTGGGGAAAGACAGATTTGGATGATGTTGTCTTCTACAAAACGGGAGTGGGACAGCCATGAACTACAGCCAGTGAGTTTTTTCTTTCCCTGATTGTGTTTTGCAGCAACCCATGCGAGCCAAGCACTGCCAGCTGTGCCAGCACTGCGTGCGGCGCTACGACCACCACTGCCCCTGGCTTGAGAACTGTGTAGGAGAAAGGAATCACCCCCTCTTCATAGTCTACCTGAGTGTGCAGCTTGTGGTTCTGCTGTGGGGAGGCCATGTTGCTTGGTAAGGCTGGGAGATGGCTTTTGGACCTCTGAGATTGCTGAAAGTTGTAGTGCTCCTTGGGCTGGCTTAGAACATAAACTGGCTCTGGATCTTCACCCTCTTTTGCATCATGGAGCTCCCTAATCTTGAGTAGTCTCTGATAATTTAGGTTTCATTGTTCATTTTCCTTCAGTCCCTGTAACATGATCTTTGTTTACACATTCAAGTGCTGGAAACTCCAACAGGGTTCCAGCTGTTCAGGAGGGGAGTTAACCCAGGGTGATTGTGTCTCACAGCTGCCAGGGAAACAGCATCTTCTAAATTTAGCTTCCAATTCCTGTGGTGCAGTCTCTCAGGACTTCATAGTATATTAACTCTCTGTAGTCAAGGATTATTAGCAGCTCATTAGTTATGAATCAAACTTAAATGTGTCATCAGGTTTGCTTAGTTTATGAAACTAGTTCCGCTTCTTTAACTACAGATTTATTTCTGTTTGAATTGAAAGGTCAGGCCTCTACTTTGAACAATCCCGGGAGTGGCTGCAGCACAACATTTTCCTCCTTGTGTCCTTCCTCCTGATATTCATATTCACCATTGTGGTCCTGCTGCTGCTTGTTTCCCACCTGTACCTGATCTCATGCAACACCACGACCTGGGAGTTCATGTCTCACCACCGCATCTCCTACCTGCGGCACTCCGAGCTGGAGAACCCCTTTGACCAAGGGATAATCCTCAACCTCTGGAGATTCTTCTGTTCACGCCACCTCACTGCATGGGAGAACATCTATTTTCACAGGAACACTGAGCCTGTCTAGTCCCAGTGTGCCAACACACCTGGCAGGCTGCTGGGTAAAACTTTGCTAATGCAATGGCTGCTGTTTCCTTGCACTGAACTTTAACACATCATGGACTATGCAACCTGCTCCACAAGCTGTTCATCTGTAAATTACATTTCAGGGATAGTCAGGGCTATTTTTTATATATAAACAACACTGTTAAAGGCAAGAATACAGTTCTGGGAAGGGCAAAGCCAGCAGAGCTGATTTCCAGGCTGAGCACGGTATCTCTCTAAATTTATTTCCGTTTGTTAAGTGCATTCACATCTTTCCAGAAGAAATGCAAGATTAGTGTGACTATTCATGTTCTCTTCTCCCAGGTCTCCTTCACTTTTTGCTGCTAGGGAACAGCAGCAATTACACATAAAACCAGCCAGGATCAGTGTAATTCCTGTGGCCTTTTTTCAGCCAAGTTCTGACTGTGAGAACTGCAGTGCCTTTTGGCAGTAGCATCAGGCATGTAAGAGAAATATTTGAGTAAATATTTAGAGAGTCAAAAGCAGATTTGATTTTGTCCACATGCCTCAACTTCATGCTTTCCATGAAGACTTAAGGCTTAATGCTGTTAACGTGCATAAGAAAGAGCTGTTAGACATCCAATTAATCTTACGAGATAATTAATCTGTATTTTGTGATGCCCTGAGCAGCTTCCTCACAGCTTTTTAAGTTGATGATGCTGCTAACAATTCGCTGGTTTGAATCAAGTCAGTGAAGAATGATACCATCACTTTTCTTTGGACAGGAAAGTAATCCTTAGCTACTGAGTTATTTCTGCAGATAATAACAGTTGTCCTCAGGCCTGGGAGAGAAGCAGGAGCAGAGGTGTGTACCTCATGCCTAACTAAAGTAACACTGTTGGTAAAACTACTACTACTACCTCAACTCACCAGTGACATTTTAATAAAATAATACCATTTCAATGCAAGAGAAAAGCTTCCAGGTCCTGAGATGAGATGCTGACAGCTTTCAGGACAGCAGCAAGAGGATCTGTTTTCCATTGAAATAAAAGGTCATACTTCAGATTTCCATGGGGAACTATAAAAGGAGGTTTGGCATGACCCATCTTAGCTTTAAAACAAAAAAGGCTGTGGTGTGAATTTTAGTCCTGACCCTTTTCTGTTAAAAGAAAAACAAACAAGAAAAACCACCACAAC